CACTCAAAGGCCCCGCTACGCACCTTTAGCTAGCACATTTAGTCAATTTTGAGTTCATTTAAAAAGTTTTTTTTCTGTCTGCTTTTTTTTTTTGTCTCTTTCGCTGAGCGCTGACGGCGAAGAAGAAGAAGCAGCAGCAGCAGCAGCAGCTGTCGCTGACATTTTTCGCTGCTGTTTGTCACCTCGTCTCAGTGAGCCTGAATACCCCTAACCGACCCCTTATCACTTGTTCCGCTGCCATTGTGTCTGTGTGTGTGTGTGTGTCTCCCTCTCTCTCTCTCTCTCTCTCTCTGTGTGTGGGTCTGTGTGCGTGTGCTTGGAGCTGCTTTGTCAGTGTTTCTGTCGCCTTGTTTAAAGTAAATTGAATTTCTATTTTATTTAAAATGCGCATTGAGACGCACTAAAAGTTCTCAAGTGGCAGCGTTTTCTAAGTGCGGGGCATAAGTAAGACGGGGAGGGGGTAGGTGTAGCCGTTAGGTGGCGTAGACCAGGGGCAGGGGCACGGGCAGGGGCAGGGGCAGGGGCAAGGCAGTGGAGTGGCGGGCTCTGATACTCGAACGGCGTCATGCTGAAAATTTAGCGTGAAGGTGTAAAAATTACACTTAACACTCGCCGGCAAAAGCAAATAGAAAGGGGACAAATAGTATGAGAGAGGGTGAAAGAGCGAGAGCGGGGGCTGAGCTGTGAGCGGGGTGACTGAGCTTGGCCTTTGTATTTGACTTTCCTCATTGCCGTTGCCTTTGTGCAAGTTTTTCGCATTATTTTCTTATTTTTTGTTATTCAATTTTACTTTGCAGATGTCGAACTTAACTTAAATTGCGTTAGGTGAAATTGTCAAAGATATATACATATATGTGTGTAGTTTTTTAAGTGGTTTACTACAATAAAAAGCCAACCGCACAGCGCAATTGTTCAAAATATACATTTAGAAGCCTGCTTAGTATACGAAACAAAGAAAAACAAAAACAATTTAGGAAAAACTATAGAAAGGACGACGTTTCTATATAGTACAAACATTCAAAAAGCTCTTATGTACAGCTTTGAAGAAACTTCAAACTTCATCCATTTTCCACCAGGGAAACATTTTCACGAAGATCTTTAAGCCTTAACAGATAGTTAACAAAGAAAGTGACAAAAAGCTATTTTCCACCAATTTTCCACAGTTGCGGGTGGATTATATATCTACATATCATTCTTGTTTCTTTTTTTTTTTATATTAAAGTTAACCGATTTTCAATAAGGATGAGCATGTTTCATCTTCATGGTCTAGGGCTTGCAATAGAACATTCTGACAGTTGCAGCAGGCTTTAACATAAACTAAACAAAAATTCAATTCATGTTTCTTTTTCAAACTAACTAGCTGGTATATTGACATCATAATCCTCTTAAAAGTATTTTAAATTGCATAAATTCAGAATAAAAAAGACAAGAAAAGCGATAAAAAAAATAAAATAAATGCCAAAAGTTTGTTGTTGAAGAATAGTTAGAATACAAATCTTCTAAGGGGCCAATTTCAGCTAAATATCATCTTAATAATAGTTGTATAACAGCCAGCTAATGTTGATTAATCGCAAACATGTTAGTTGTATTAGAGTTGTATACACATTATTATATATTTAAAAAAATAGCTAATATAACAGCTATTAAACTTCTTTCTTGTTCTTTCTTTTTTTTATAACAACTGGTTTAATGTAACGCAAAGTAAATAGTTGTCTTAAAGTTGGAATATAATGATTGTAGATGAGCATATGAGACATGTACAGCTATTGCATAACACTTTTCTACAGAAATAACCATAAGTATATCATTGCCAAACAGTTTCTTGTGTGGCACATTAACTTGTGCTTAAATCGTATAACAGTTGCGTAAGTATGTCATTGTATTACAGTTCTCTCAGCAGAGCATTTACTTAAGCTAATGTCGTATGAAAGCTGTATAACATTACTGTCCCCGCGCGAAACTATGCAGTTTCCAAACGTCGGAAAAGAAGTGACATATTTGCGCAGTCTGGGTGGATATATATCGGCGGAGTTATGTCGCTATGCCAAAGTTTTGCTACATTTGTGTATGACAGTGCTATAATAATTCTGCTACACTTCTATATATCGTATGACAGTATGTTTAACAGTTTTGATTCATTTGAAAATAAACTATATGACAGATGTATAACAGCTTTGCCTTATTTGTATATAAGTCTTAGGAAAGATGTATAACAGCTTTGCCTTACTTGTATATAAGTCTTAGGATAGATGTATAACAGCTTTGCCTTATTTGTATATAAGTCTTAGGAAAGATGTATAACAGCTTTGCCTTACTTGTATATAAGTCTTAGGATAGATGTATAACAGATTTGCCTTATTTGTATACAAGTCTTAGAAAAGATGTAAAACAGCTTTGCCTTATTTCCATAACAGTATAACAGCTTTGCTAAAGTTGTGGATCCGTTTCTAAACACGTTTATGCCACACTTGCGCTTGATAGGCTACCATTAGCAGTCGAAGAGCAACTGTTTAAAAGCTGTCTAGCAGTCGCACTCTCAGTACAGAGTATCGCTCAGTCGAGCATACTAATTGTTTGTCTGCTTATTAAGCATTAAAAGCCCAACGCCGCAGATGTCGCTTTGATATTCCTGCGAATCAGGTGATACGAAATCAGAGTCCTGCAACAGTTATGGGTGCACGGGCAAAGGCGGGTGACTGCAAAGCGGCAGTGAGGGGAGGGGGAGAGGAGCTTGCAGAGACAACAGCAACCACTAGACTGCGGTTAAAACTGGAGCTGAGCCAAAAAAAAAGGGGCAAAGGACGCATAATTATAAAGCTGTTCATAACAAGCAGCTCAAGTGCAGCCAGCTTAAGGGCAAGCACGAAAGAAAACGACCAAGCCGGAGAGGGAGAGTGCGAGCGGGAGAGGGAGTGGGAGCGGGAGAGGGAGCGGGAGAGGGTCAGAGAGCTGGAGAGGCTGCTGGCGATAAAAGGATGAGGCTGGCGCCCAGCTGGCGGCCGCCAGCAAAGACCCCCCCCCCCTTCAAAATGAAAACACAATACGAAATAGACACATAGATACTGAAGAGGAGTGGGGGTAGGGGTTGGGTCGGCAGAGCGGAAGGGCGAGCACGGATTGTAGCACTTGTGACCAAGTTTTTCTTCCACTTGTATTTTTTTATATTTTTATTTCTTTTTGCTGCGCCTCAAATCAATTTTAGGGAATTTATTTGCTGATTTTATTAAAGCGCGCAAAAAGCATCAAATGAATTGACACGAAGGGCGGAGGGGGCGGTGTGTGTTGCATGGAAGGGGAAACAACAGTAACAAAATTCGATTGTCGATTCAATTGCCTGTCAAAAAAACACGTAAATATTTTGGAGCCATGCGCGGCTGTCAGGCTGGAGGCTTGGCCTATCGTAATTAAGTTAGAACCTTTCTAGACTCTCTCTCTCTCTTTCTCACTCCCACTCTTCCTCTCCCTCTCCCTATCCCTCTCTCTCTCTCTCTCGCTCACTGGCTGCCTCTTTAGCCATCTTTGCTGAAAGACGCGCTGATTGCGCTGGCCGGAATGTCTCTCGGACACGCCCAGCCCACACTTTGAGCCAGCATCCAGCCAGTCCAAACTACCAAACCAACATCTATGGGTACTTAGCTTAAGCTCCACAACTTTCAGCCCGAAATGCCAGCAGGCATCTAAATGGTCACAGCCAGCATGATAATCCCCCGGCCAAGCCCAACCCAAACTTTAGTCCTACCATTGCCTAAAGCCATCATCAGCATCATCATCATCATCATCATCATCATCGACTCGCACTTTAAAAGTGAAATGTAATTCAAATAGGAAACGCTCAAATTACTTGACCCACTTTCTTATATAGGAATTGATCATCCCTCATCAGACCCTCATCTCCAACTCAGCTGAGCTCGACTAACAATTGATTCATTCATTTGCAGTGTCTCACAGTTCCACACTTTCAAGTTCCGCATGTTTATATAATATAATAATTTTCCAACAATTGTCATGTTTTGCTTGGCTTTCTTTTCTGTTTTTCTGAGCTTAAAACAACTTAGATTTTCTAGTAAAACCAATAAATCATATCTCGTAAAGCTATTGAATAGCTTAGTGCGAGCGCAGACTACTTAATGCTCTACTGAAAACAGTCTGGCAACCCCACAAGCATAATTCGTGTAGCTCGCAGCCAGCTTAGCTTCGTACCAAAATCAGTCTGGCAACATGCCACAAATTCCGTGCGCCTAATTCTTATCAATTGCAACCTCTCTGCTGCAGAGCGCTGCCAGCTCTTTCTGCATAGCTGAAGTGTGGCAACGCTCACATTTAATATAATAAATTCATGCTAAATAAAAAAGAAAGTGGTAGGTTAAATATATATAAAGAAAATAAAACAATATTATAACTGTTATTCTGAACACAATTATAGCCATACTATTTATGTATGTAAAAGCTTTCACACAGCCGTTTTTCACCCATTTTCCGCCGTTACAACTTTTTAATCCACCAGAGTACATAAGATCTTAATGCACTGCTTCAGCATCGACAAAAATAATCCATTTCGACGACAATAATGAGCTTTTAACTTTAAAAAAGAGAACAGAGTTTTTGTACCTAGCAACTTTTTTATTGGTATTTTTTCGGTACTTTTTTACGCCTATGCTGCAGCATAAATAATTATCCGCTCTTCCATCTTAAAAGCTCAAGACTTTATTGAACAACACCAGTATTTTTGTACCTACCGACTCCTTTTAAGTTGGTATTTATTTTGGTATTTTTAAAATTGGGCAAGTCTGAATGAAATGCTGCAGAATAAATAATTTTGCAGCGTTCCAGCTTAACATTTAATGATTTTACTTAAAAAAAACAGTATTTTTTGCAACCTTACTGATCCTCTTTAATCGGGTTTTTTTCGATATATTTCAAAATTCGCCTATGAATTCGAGTTTTTATAAAAAACATAAAAAATAAAAGTATTTTGTACTAATTTTTTGGTATTTTTGCAGCTGGTCGGCGGTGAATTCGATATGGAATTGAATTTTGTGATACAGGATGCGCAGAATATAAAACATATGCTGGAGTTGTTGGATCATTGTCCACCCAATTTGCAGGTGAGTTCAATAACAGCAATTTATGCTAGGGAGGGCGTGAGGGGTAAAAAAGTGTATGTGTGTGTGTGTGTGTGTGCGAGCAAGAATGTTGTGTAACAGCAACAAATTCAAAATTTGTTGTTATAAAATTCAATCAAAAATTTTGTTGCTTTGCGCCATCAAAGGCAAATTAGGCAGCGGCAAAAATGTACGAGTGTGTGTGTGTGTGTGTGCGTGTGTGTGTGAGGGTGGCTCCAAATTGTGCGTAATGAAAGCGCAACATGAAACGCCTTTCAACTGTTTTTACTTTTGCCGCGTTGTCAGACGCCTCGTTGGCGACGCGTCGCAATCTTTTTTTGATTTGCATATGAATTTATATGTGTGTGCGTGTGGGTGTGTGTGTGTGGGTGTGTGTGTGCGTGTGTGTGCGCGTTAAACAATATTTTACACCTGACGCTGTCGCTGTGCGTCGCGCGGCGTCATCCAAATTATTAGCATGAATGCTGGCAAAGGATGCGGCTCTGGGCACGTCCCTGAGCGTTGCTTTGTGTGTGTGTGTGTGTGTGTGTGCTGGCAGGAAGTGTGCGCTGCTTTCGCAACACTCTTGTGCAGCAGCCGCTGTTGTATGCATTTGAACAGCCGCCCGCGCGCCCGCCTCGCTCTAGTGAAAGAGTAAAGGCCGGAAGTTGAGAAACCGTGTCAGCAGCCAGCTTCCAACACTGAGGAACCGTCGTGCACCCACTCCAATATAGCTGCCGCTCGGGCGGCTACTCCTCCTCCTCCCCAGCCCCCACCAGAGCTCAGACCTAGCCAAACTCAGCCAGTCCGTGGAGCCGACAAAAGTCGCGCCAATGCTGTCGCTTAATGAGTTTGTTTCAACTTTGTTCCACCGTTCGGTTCATTCACCTATCAAACAAGCTGATTGCATTCGGTGGAATGTGCTCGACTAGCAGATATCCTGTGTGCACAAGTGAGACAAGTTAGCTCTGGGGTGTACCAGTTTTCAAATGTCTACCTTCTAAAGTTTCTGGGAGCTTGAAAAACGAACTCTGTTTTATTAAGTAGTTCGCTTGGTTTATATATATTTAACTTGTTCCTCATTAACTAGTTCCTCTAGGAACTTTATTTTTTGCCGGTTCCTGAGGGTACTATATTTTTAGCTAGTTCTTTACTAACTAATTCCATTGGGTATTATATAACTAGTTCTTTGTTCCAAGTTCTTTTGGGTACCATATTTTTAACTAGCTCCTTGGGGTGCTATATTTCAAACTAGTTCCTTTTCAACATGCTCTTTTGAGAACTATATTTTTAACTGGTTTTTTATTGACTAGTTCCTTGGTATACATTGTACATTGTACTAGTTAGGGTACTTTTTTTTAAGCTAGCTCTTAATTAAATAGTTAAACTGTTTCTTTTATACAAGTTACCTTGGTATTTTTAACTAGTTACTTATCTATTAGTTCCACTATATTTTTGGCAAGTTTCTTGTTAACTAGTTCCGTTGAGTACGAAATTTTTCACTTGTTCCTTTTTAACTAGTTCCTTTGGGGTATTATTTTTACAGATTCAATGCCGAACTGAAGTAAATAGAAGCTGGCAATATAACTATCCAATTTTATGTTCCTATAAAATCAAGATTAAACCTTTTTTTTTGGTGAGATAAAACTTATGCAAGAACCGGTTTGCCGTTGGAACGATCAGGAGATTTCTTGAGCTCTCTTCAGCTCAAATATCTTGAGAAAAAATATGTAAATACGAAGCTTACAAAATTTTGAACATTTCATTCTTACATACAATTTTAAGGTTTTTGTTTCAAGCGAAGGCGCAAATCGGTTTTTGATACTGAATCGATGCAGAGTTTTTTTTTTTTAGCTTATCTAAGTAATGTTCAAAAAGGGAACATTGAAGGAAAATTGAACAATTTTTGAACAGCGAAGTTTGCAACTTTTAATATTTTTCAACACTTTTAAGTGCAAATTTGATAAGTGTGTTAAAAAGCAGAAGCTGTAGATAAACTTGTTTCTGGTAAGAATTTGTTATGCTTGCTCAATAAAAAGAGCAGCGAGAAAAGGAGAGACTAGCAGAGAGAGAGAGAGAGAGAGAGGGGTGAGAGAGAGAGAGCGGAAAAAAGTAAACTTTTTTCTTTATTTTTGTAATGGGGCTTTTGGCATTTGCTGTGGGGCCAATGAGATATTTCGGTGCACAGGTGGAGCTGTTGTGTGTGGGTGTGTGTGCGGGTGTGTGTGTGTGTGTGTCTGTGTATGTGTGTGTGTGTGTGTGTGTGTGAATGTTTGCCTGTGCTGCCTTGACAATCCATTTGAAGCCACTTACATATGCGAGCCATTAAAATGCCGCTTGGCGAATTGTGCCTGCTGCTTGTGTCATGTGTGTGTCTCCTGTGTGTGTGTGTGTGTGTTCGCGTGTGTGTTGTGTTGTGTGTGTGTGAAACATGAGTTTTTCTTGTTTCACGCCATGCGACGTCAGCGGCATTCAACGTCAAATAGTTGCGGCTCGGCTGTGCCTCAACAAATTTATTTAGCTTTTAAAATTAATGAAAATTGTCACTGACAAATGTTGTGTGCGTGTGTCTGTCTGTCTGTCTGTCTGTCTGCCTGTGTGTGTGTGTGTGTGTGTGTGTGTTTTGTTGGCATATGTAAAACACGCATCAAATATGCATCATTAAAGTGGTAAAAAAAAAAGAAATATATATATATATAAGGAACGTTGCGTGATTTTAGGCGCCAGCTACAAGAATTTGGCAGCATATTGGCTGCCTGCCTGGCTGGCTGCTTAATTTGGCATGCCAAGCAGGTGCCATTGAGCAGCTCGCCCCGCTACCCCTCCCCACCCAATCTCCAGGCCAACACCCTCAATCAGCCTAGCGCCTGGCCCTTTACACGCCCACGCTGTGGCATGCCCCCTCACGTGGCAAGTGGAAATAAAAAGGAATTTACAGGCATTTTATTGCCCGGGGACAGCAACAGGGAACAGTTAACGGGCCGCAGCCCCAACAATTTTGCATAGCTCGCACACACACACACACACACACACACACACACTTATAGCTTGTGGAATACTTAAATGATTTATGTGTTTACCAGCAGCATCTCTGCGTCCGCCACTCAATTGATTCGGCACGTAACCGGGCCAAGTGCAAATAACTGTTTCAGTTACCAGCGCAACCAGCCCCAGCGCTAGCCCCAGCCCCAGCCCCAGCCCCCTCCACCTGCCGCCTGCCCCTTTGGGCCATTTTGTTTGTGGCCATTACATTTTATACTTGACAATAAATTTCAGCGTGGCGTTCGGTTCAAGCCAAGCGCAAATCAAAGCCACGTTATGGCCGACATCCCCCCCCCCCCTCCGCCCACTCAACGTCCACGCCTAAGCAACCCCGCCCCTCTGCCACCTCTGAGCCATCGCTGACTTTTGCTCCGGTTACTGTTACCGTTACCGTTACTGTAACTGATTCCCGTTCCGGTTCAGTTGTAGGTTCCGCTTCTGGTTCAGTTTCTCTGCCCCGTAACCGCATATTTGCCCCGGCTCGCTGGCTCTGGCTCTGGCGCTGGCTCTGGCTCTGCCCCTGTCTCTGCCTCCGTGTGCCCAATAAAATTTTATAGCCTTTGCCAGCGCAGCAATTTGCGTAACTCTTCACTGTAACACCACCCCCCACCCACCCACCATCCCTGTGCGCCCCTTTCGACCTGGTCAACAGCTTTCACCTTTCATCAAATTGCTGCAAATCCAGATTTTGTGTTTGCATATTACGCCATCTGGCGGCTGGTAGCTGCTGTGTATAACATTGTTAAGGCTCCATTTATGCTTTCCGTGCGCGCCATGATTACCTGCGTGGCACACCCTTGCGCCCCAACGACAAGCAGGCCCCGTGGGTCAGTACTTATTTTGTGCCTAACAATAGTCGCCAGTAGGCTTTGCTCCCTGTTTCACTCTCTCTTTCTCTCTCATATTTTATATATCTTTCTTTTCGTCGCTCTATTTCCATCTGCCTCTCTTGCCATTTCTTTCTCTCCATCTCTCACTCTCAATATCTCTATCTTTTACTAGCTTTATATCCCGCTCTTTCTCACTATGTCTCTCTCTCTCTCTCTCTCTCTCTCTCTCTCTCTCTCTCTCTCTCTCTCTCTCTCTCTCTCTCTCTCTCTGTCTCTCTCCCTTTCTCTCTCTTACTTACTTTTTCTCTGTGTTTCGCTCTTTCTCATCCTCTCACTCTCTTTCTCTCTTTATTTCTCTCGCGCTCTCTCTCGCCTTGTCTCCCTATATCGCTCTTTCTATTCTCTCTCTCTCTCTCTCACTCTCTCTCTCTCTCTCTTCTGTCTTGGTAACTTTTAATCCATCACTTACTCTCTTTTTCTCTTTTCCCTTTCCCTCTCCCTTTTCTCCGTCTCAGACTCACTCTATCTCTCTCTCTCTCTGTGTGTCTCTTAGGCGCTCTCCCCCTCTTTCTCCATAAATAATTAAACAGCTTCATCCTTTTTTTTGTTAAATTACACAGCTACCCTTTGCTAACAGTAGTATGTTACTAACAGTATATGTTATGTTAACAAGCTGTTAACAGCTTGTATTTAAACCGCAGCACTTTATTACTGTCATTTTATTATTAAAACTTTAATAACGACAACTTATCACAAAGGAGACGATTCGTAAATATGATAAGGCTTTTAAAGTTACCAAGTGTTAACATTTGTCTGCTTCAATGTTATCAGTCACATTTTAATTACATGTCATGCACCTAATATGCATACATTTGTTACATACACTTCACATCTAAGTGCATTATATCGTTAGTTACGAACGCCAGCTCTTCCCCCCCCCACACTCTGACCGTTGTTATGGTCGGTTATTCCACTAATTATCCACAGCTGAAATTCTGTCCGTTCAAAGTCAGCATCTAAATTCTCTGCGTTTGCTTTGCACGCTGCTTATCAGCTGGTTGATGTAAATATCTCATGAAGTTAACAGCGCTTTAACAGCGCCGGGTTAACAGCTGCATGGTACTGCTCTCT